AAAAAAAAAAAAGAAAAAACTGATGTCTAATGACGACTCGCTTTTATCGAGGAAATTGTCTAAACGGACAAATTCCCAGAGTACGATCGGCATAACGCGACGCACAAAGTGTTCCAATAGTGTTTCGTTTGGATGAGTAAATTTGGATGTGATTTACCGGCTAACTGTACCCATCGTACACAATCGACTTCCTGCTGTAATAGCATCCGTACTCGCATTTGAAATTATGATCTACACAATGTAAATAAAGCATCGCGATAAGTCCAATGGGTGAAGTTTTAATTTCATTTAATCGCTATTTACTACGTCATTGTAAGCCCGTAATAGGCCATATAAAACATAGTCACGGGTATACATTTGCGGCCAACATTATTACAGTGACGACAGGTGTAGTTGGCCATATACATGTCCTTCTTGCATGCACAACTAACATAAATGAATAGGGTACGAGTTGGTAGCACGTGCTGCCGGCATCAGAATTCGAGTAAACGACCTTTAAGCGGTGTCCTTGACTTTTCTTGACACACTTTGTACCGCCACACGGACCGGCTGCGTTCTCCAAGGACATTTTTTTTTTTTTTACGTCGCAATGAATCCGCGAACAGCGCCATCATATAAAAGCGACACAACTTCGGGATCATCTGGTGGGGAGGTCAAACGACAGGGACAAACGTACGAATTAGTTTTAAAACTCATTTCACGGATATATTGTTAGGGGAAATTGTGAATAAAGTTTAACGACGCGCACACTTCGCCATTTCATCGATCAAATCTTTGTAAACTTTAAATTGATGAATTTATTCAATCCAATGTCTTGGATAGAAAAGGAATTTATTAACCTAACTTTTATCTCATGTTATTTAAAAGAACAATGTAACGATAATGGATATTACGAAGCCGATTACAAAACCGCAAATATGAAATTTAAATAGAAGTCACGAAGAAATATCACGAAACCGTCCTGTACGATTGTGTTTTGTGAACGAAGCCGGTTGTTACGTTGGAAAATATGGCTGCCACATGTGGGCACGCTTGGGAACAGATTAGAGTTTCATTTTACCTCCTTAGTTGTTTCAAGTTAACTTTCGCCTGAAAATTCCACTCGGCATTGGAATCCCTCAAAACCTTACAAAACGGAAATCTCGTCTTCAATGTCAACACGCTCCGAACAAACAAAATTTCTAGCCAAAAATGTTTCAGCGAAATAACTACGCTAATAATAATAATAAGATACTCACCGCACACGACTCTGTCGAATGGGCTCATCCAATCTGAAAGCAAAAATAGAAACGTCGTAATTAGTGAGAATCGATCCGATACGAAGATTATCAGGGGTTTCAACTTATCCCGTGAAAAGCGTGCACACTTTGGACAGACAGATACTCGTGCATAGAAAGAAACATTCGCCGGAAAAAGAGAGAGCGGAAGAGGCGGGGAAAGAAGAACGGAGAAAGGAAGAGAACGCGTATAAATGAAACTTATATTCCAATGGATAGGTAATTAGGAAATAGGAAATTCGTAGCAGCTCGACACGCAAAGCACTCTTCGTGTGCAACTTCGCCCTCTAGAAAACAGAATTGGAAGTACGATCGTGGAACGTTTTCAGCGTACGCGGCCGCTCAATCCCATTCTCACTCGATCTACTCTGTCGATTAAACCGGAATATATCATTGGCTTAGCCTAAACATTGATCTTTGTATCCGCTCCGCAACAATGACCACATTCGCACGGCACCGATCAAAAGGCGTCCTCAAAAAATTTCAGTCCTGTACGTAGCAATATCTTGCAACACACATTCCTTTTGCAAGTGAAGTACAACGTTCCCAATTAAGCGTCGACCGGTCGTGGACGCTAACCGTTTCCCAGCATGGAATTTATCCCAATAAATCTCTCGGCTGCGTTACATTCGAACGACTACCGCGAGAGAGACGGCGTTTCCTTCGTTCTCGGCTCGTAAAGTTATTCTTACGCACTCGTAAACCAGATAAGGACTTTATTGAATCACGAATAGACACTTCTTGCGAACGTTGCCCGATAAGACTGCTGCGCGCCATGAAGGATGAAAAAGGAAGACCGTTTCTTCGTGGCCGCTTTCTTTTTCTCTATTACTTATGCTTAACGGCAAATATTGCCGAACAAGTGCCCAATAAAAACCGACGACGTTATAAATTACATTGAAGCACGTATTGAGAAAACTCGGACGCTGTTTATTCCGTTGTGATTTACTTATTGATCTGACGTTATCGGCTAAGTAGCTTTATCGTGTTAAGGGTCGGGAGACAATAAAAGAGCATTAAATTAGGCATGCTTTGAAATTTGGAAAATGGACGGATGTAGCAAATATAGCTTTCATTGGTCGAATTCTTTCCCCGTGTGGATTTCCAACACCGCAAGCAAAGATTTCTCTCTTCGGAGATGCACATAGATTCACAGACAAATATTTCTTTGAAAACATGTAGCTGGAGAATACCGATTGAAATATCGACATCGAGGCTGCTTAGAATGTGATTTACAGTAAACGTTAGCACGTTAGAATGAACATTATTTACAAATGTTATGAACAACATCTTTCTCGGCACTCCTTTCATTCATGTGAAAAATGCACGAAAGTATAGTGATGGATATAACACGCTATAGAGAAAATGTCGTTGAATAATATAAAACGAAATGAGCTTCGGGAAATAATTCGTACAAATTTGATTCCACAAAGCTTTATCAAACCAAGTCTTTAAATGGCGTACGTATCGTAGCGCACTCTATCGAATTTCGTTGCCGTTGTAATTAAAAATTCGACCGCTAGGAGACGTTCATTCTAGGCTGCATGAATTTATGTGCCATTCGCACATCGAAGACACAACGCAAACATTTTAAAGCAATCGTTCGTTAGTAAAGCGTAAACAAGCCGATCGCTGAAAAAGCGAATTACATTGATTACTTATTCGTGTTATTCGTGCAAGATTATCGTCGATCATGTACAGCTGTTGTCAACTTAAATCGTACGGAAAATCTTTCAAGAAAATGGCGGGCCTCGAATACACATGCACGAAACAAGGGTGCGTGTCTGTACTGCGAAAATCAATTATTTGGTTTATTTTCGTTCACGTGCAGCGACGGAAAAGGAATCTTGAATAAGCCCCCCGACCGACCTTTTTTTCGTTACATTTTTGTTTGAAAACGCGCATCACCTCGCACGCGATATATATTCGAAACAGCCACAGGACGACGTGAACACGAAAAACAATGCGGCCCGGTGAATTGAGCCGCCTTTAAAAATACATGAATGCTTTTCATGGGCGACGCCGCGGCGTCGACGACTTGGTTGCTTGCTTGTCCACCACAGATACACGGGGTAAAAGTACCGTCGGCACTTTGTTCGTGCTAATATCGCCTCGAACAAAGGCGTTTATACAAGCTGTACTGGGAATGCATTATACGGAACATGGGGAATAACTGGACGCCGAGGAGACGGTCAAAGATTTCAGATCTACGATGATCACGTCTCGAATACGCTATTGTTTCTCTAAATTGAAAATCGTCGAGATTCTCGAGGACAACTACGTGTTATCTTTTAACTGTTACTCGTTACAGCAATAGCGGCCGAAGAGACAATGAGGCACAAACAAAATGAAATTCGACGTAAATTAATGCACGCGTCAAAGAATCAGTTTATGCTCGTGTAACGTTCGAGAAACGAACATGGCGGCGGTAATTCCGAGATATACAAAGTTGAACAACGATTATTTGAAGAAAACCGATATAAGCATTGGACATATCTGACCAAGAGTAATTATCAACACAAATGGTAAGTGTACGTTATTCAGAATTACTATCGGTTGATTATTAATATCGAAGCTACTAAGCATAGAATAGCTCATTAATTTTGTACTCTAGGTATCTGCTATGATTTTCCCGATGAATAATAATGGTAACGTAAATAGGGTTGTTAATATTAGCCGGCCAGATAGAAATTATATTCATATTGCTAATAATAGATTAATAGTGTAAAAATTGAGAGCGAATTTCCATAAAGTCAAAAATATGTTTGTAGATTAATACGATGATCGGCTATAACAGAAAGTTGCACAGATTAATATATCGCTACAATTAGTTTTATGAAATATTTTTATTCTACTTCTGGTTACAAACGATGGTTCGAATTTGCTTCTACCGCATATAACGAAACATTTGAGGTATAACAATATTCATAGTGCCCCCTGTAGAAGGAATAACTATAAACACGTGTACCATAGGTCAGTTCCCATCTATCTAGTTTCAAAGTCAAAGATTTTCAATCATTTCTGTATTTTTATAAACACAAACTTTTTATAAAGAAAAAAAAAAAAAGAAAAAATGCAATTCTCAACAACAAGCTAACTTTGCTAAGCATAACAGATAAAGACAGAGAAAAAATTTATAATATCGCAGAGAAATAAGAATTATGTTTTATCATTTAATTCTCACAATTTCCATCGGCGATAAAACGCTAATAACATTTTATACGAAACGATAATTTCAGATTCGAATCGTACGTAATTTATTACTTTGCTAATTTATTACTGCGAAACATAGTCGACGTTTTTACTTGCAAATTCGTACCACTTACCGTGACTAGCAATAAACTACACGCATAAATAAAGCAGCGAATTCATTATTTTTCAACGATCATTCTGCTTGTACTTTTATCCAGCGGTACAGACACGACTGTATCGTTATCTCTAACGCATTATTAGGAACAACACATCCGACGGTTGGTGGTCATTAATACGAGCAAGATAGTCCACGAAAGATCATGCTGAAACAAGCGCCACGATTATCGTTAATTCTATTATTGATTCAACTCGTTTCGACGGACGGACAATTTAACGCCATATTAACTGTCGGTAATTAAACTCGAATCGGCGAATCTATCTTGCTTATCGGCGGCTTGCACCTTTTATTTGGAAAGAGTAGGCGTTAGCAGGAGTGCTGTCTTATCAGACAAACTACGTGCGGTATATATAACAGTCATTTGAATGTTAACAATTCATTCTACGATCTGTACATTGTATGCGAATGACCGATCGTGAAACGATAGTCAAATCTCTATTTCGAATCTTAATTTCGCTTAGGTAAGCCGATCCGAGGACGAGTGAATTACACTAAAAGTATGTTCTACATAATCATGCTACATGAAGCAGAATCGAAGAGAAGTTGTTACGTGATGAAACACGTATTAGCAAGAATAGAAGAAGAAGAAGAAGAAGAAGAAGAAGAAGGGTGAACAGAGTTAGAACGTGACTTACCGGTGATCGACATCCATGGATATCGTGGTATGTCCGAGATGCTGGGTTGTCCGGTGGTAGGTTGTTGGCAGGATGTCAAAGGATCAACGACAGCCGATGCAGCGGCGGCCTGATGATAGAACTGTGCAGCAGCAGCCATGGAGGCGGACGCTGCGGAAACAGCGGAGGAGGCTGACGCGGTAGCGCCGCTCTGATGATGATGGCTAAGGGTATAATTTACCATCGGATCGGCGGACGTTGGTGCCACGTTCCCGGTAAGACTGGCGGTATAACGGCAAGATTTGTCACCGGCGGTGGCGGCGTCGACGGCCGCGGCCGCTGCCAACGCGGCGCTCGAGGCCGCGGTCGAACCGAAGCCTGGCACCATGCTGGATGTAGCACCGAAGGCCGCTGCCGCGACCGCTTGTTGTTGTTGATGATGATGATGCGCCGCTGCCGCCGACACGTACGGATACATGCTAGAAGTGGTGCGTGCAGCCGGTGACGTAGAGGCTGAACTTCCCGAGTGCTGGGGACTGGAGCCCGTCGGGCTAGGAGAATTGTGCTGTTGCGCGTAATTCACTGCCGCGGCCGCGACTGCAGCCGCGGATAAACTCGATTCTAGACTTGCGGTGGCGGGACTTGTGGTGCAAGCCTGGATTGTGCCGGGGTTTGCGCTTGAGAACAACTGTTGATGATGGAACTGTTGGTGATACTTAGGTAGCATACTATCGATTATGAATTTCGAACTCATATCGGCAGTAGCCGATACCGATTTCGGACTCGGTGCCGAGGACACGCCCGGGCTTCTCCTCCTCCGGCTGTCTTTCTACTTTCCCTTGTTTATCCGTTACCTTTTGACCCCCACTTTGATCAACCACTTACGCAACTTTACACATTATCACAGCAACGATAGCAGCGGACGCGAACGGACAAAGGATGGATATTGCTAGTAGGCGGATGATCACGATTACCGGACAGCTCGCGACGGCAGACGACGGCACACCAGAATCCACCGTTTCCAGATCATTCGTTTCCTTTCGTGGCGGGTGTCCTTCCGGATGACCGTGTCGTCGATCACGCACCGGGCCGAAGAGGATCCACCGTCCAGGTATGGATTTCCAGGTCGACGTTACGATTCCTTTATGGTAATTACGATTCCTTCCACATCGGGACGACGAGCGACAATAAAGCAACGGGTCTTTCGTTGGCCGGGCCCTCCCAGCTGATCCAACACGGCGGTCCCAGTGAGGAAATTGGGCTGCGACGGTGTTCGAGGCGACGGCACGAGGAGAGAGAAGAGAAGAGCGTGGCCCCTGTCAGGTGTTAGAAGCCGTTTCTTGCGTACTTCTCGGATAGTCGACGAATCCTTTATGGGCCATGCATGAAGGTACTATAGCCCCCTATCCCGAACGCCGCGTACTACAACCCACGGCCAGCTAAATGTAACCCCTTACAATAATGGCGCCGCTTGTCTCTCCGTTCTGTTCCCCCCTCTCTTCTACGATCCTCGAGCGCGCTGGGGTACCAGCTGGTAAACAGAGCCGACCAATCGCGCCGCTCCCTTATCCGAAGTGGACCAATCGCAGTCCGCCTAGGCGCGCCAAGATGAATGGCTCTCTCTCTCCACACTGACTCGCCTCTCTCTGATCTTCGCTCCTGCCTATGTTTCCAGCTCTCTCTTCATTTCTTTTCAACTGCGGCTATCTCTCGCTCGCTCTCTTGCCTCACTACACCACGCTCTCGCGCTTCGTCCATACCACACGCTTCTCTCCGCTTTGCTCTTTTCGTTTCTGTGTGCTCCGACACCGCTCTACCCTCTTCTCTGCGTTCTCTTTTGCCAGTGCAGTCCTGTTCACCACGTTGCCTTATACCCTTACACTGCTGTGCAGCCTTCGCTCGTCTCGCACGATATACTTTCTCTTTCTCTTTCTCTTTTCTCCTTACTTTGTCTCTCTCTCTGTTTTTCTCTAATCTCTGCTCTTCTCCTTCTGCACACTCTTTTCGCTCGTTTTCTTCTTTGCTGCTCCTTCTTTTTCGTGCTTTGCTTTCTAGCCAGCCAGCAGTTTTTTCGAAGATTAGTCTCGCACGCGTTTATCCATTTTTTCTATCGTCTGAATCTCCTCCGTTTTTACACATATCCTATTTCGTCTCGTGCCTTGACAGTCAGTTCGTAAACACGCCACCCACACACAATTCCTTTAGTTTGCAATGTGGTATCGATCTTTCTAATCGTATCCGTAACTTTCGTTATAGCAGGCTTGGGATTCTCCACCTCGATCTCCACAAATTTTTGATCCCACTCTTATCTATCTCCGTTTATCGTCTTGTCATCTTTGTCTCAAATCGAAGACTTTATCTAACTTCTCCCTTCGAGCAATCACCACACCAGCCTCCTTCGTCTCTTCGAACACGGTCTCAAGCTCGTTTCGTGCCTGATTCAACGACGTTTCGTTCTATCTATATTTTTTTTTTTCTTTTCGTTTTCACGAGAGAGAAGATACACAGACTCCTCGAATCGATCAATCGACAAGGCGTAACGCTGCGACGTTCACGATCGGTTTCGTAGACACGGTTCTCCGCACGCGCATCTCGGTTTCTTCTCGGAATGATTCCGATCCAGATGGCGCTCAATTCCTTTCCGATTTAACCAGGACCCGCGGCCCTCTCCTCTTCCCCGTGCCCGCGAGGAATGTGCAAGTCGTCTGCTCGACTCTTCGAAACCACTGAACTCGTCCCGGCCGGGATAGCGGCGACATTCCTGCGTTCTCAGAGTGGTGGCGAAGCGTTGGGGCAAGAAGCGACTTACGGGCTCGGGGGAAGGGGTTACTAGTGAGACTAGTTGCGGCCAAAGGGGAGTCGAAGGGGGTAGTGGAGAACTGCGCGCCCCGAGGATGGAAAGATACAGGGGCGGGAAAAAGTTCTCGATCGCGAAGACAAGAGGAACCTATTCGTTACTTCTCTCGCGTTCGCGGAAGACCTCTCCTTAATTGATCGCCTTTCTTTTTCCATCTCCCTCCCCGTCTGCGGGACGAGTACCAGCTTCATTACGCTCGATGGCTCGGTTTAAATATAACGCAGCTTGTTTGTTTTCATGCTGAGACTCAATACTAAAAGGTAAATGGCTGCGGTCGTATTGTGCGCGGTATACAACAGTTCCTTCGCCACTCCCAATGACGCAACGCGGACTTTACGAAGCTTTCTAACGATGGGATACCGAATGGTTGATTTTTCATTAACTTTGCCTACGAGTTTTTGTTGCCGCTAATTATCGAACGATTAATAAAGTATAGAAATATTAATCGCATCGGATCGAGTCGATTACAAGCTGACATACTCACCTTGAATGCTGTCATCCGTTCCTGAAACAAAAAAATAAAGAGAATTGTTATTAGAGAATCGGTTTCAAATAATATCAATTTTGCAAACAGATAGATCTGTATTTGGATAATTTAACGTGTGCGAGTATCCTTCGAAATACAATCTATCGAATTCGTTCGAATCATTTGATTTATTTCGTCGATTAAGAATTGCTCCACCGGGAACCATTAATTTCGAATCGGTTGAACAGAAACGCTTAAAAAAAATTAGGGAAGGAAGACCAGAAATGAACAGGCGTGGCCTCTCAGGTATCTCCTCAGCCCATGCGTCAGAATATGGAAGGTATGTAGTGCCTTCGAAGCTAATCTATGGAGATGAATGTTCCACCCCGAGACCAGAGTCCTCCACGCATCGAAACCGCTCGATCTTTTAAGACACCGCCTGTGATGACATCCAGCATGACAACGCCAAGTACAAAAGAAATACCTCGGCGTTCTTTGTTGCTCAGATGGCTCGATAGATGGAACGATACAGAAAACGACCTAAACAACAACGGATAGTTATTTATCCTTTATATATATATATATGAGGAACATGTAAACTTTTAAACATTTAATCTGCTTCGATCACTGGAAAGAGATTCACGATATGAGGAAAAATTAGAGATATATAGAGATATATTTCTTCGTTACGATTGGTTAATAAAATTTTCTTCATTTATAGATATTAAAAATAATTTATAATTCCCAATAGTAACAAGCTGGGTGCTTAAACGCTTAAAAAAACTGATCAACAATGACCCAATCGTCGCATCTGGTACTTAGTTACGTAAACAAATGATCAGATACGAGAGAAAAATTTCGCCAATGCAAGTATCCATTGGATGAACACTTGAGAAAGAAGATCGGTTTACTTATTCGAATGATCGTGATTCGATCTGAGAAGACAGGATACAGAGTCGTGCGTGACCGTGTACATACAAAGATCGTATTCCACGACAGGAAGGTATACCTGTCTCGAGCACCACGGGGTGTAAATTGCGACCGTGGCACCGACAGTCAGCTAGATGGACAAAGACACGCAGAACCTTCGCATTGGTATGTATACCTACAAGAAAGATGCGCCATGGATAAAGAGATGGCCCGATTCTTTGGAAACTTGGAACGTGTTATGGAATTTTCGACGTACAGCATTAGCCTGGATCGAGAGAAATTCCAAGGGAGAAGGGAACGCTGGTAACGAGTGGTAGAAAAACAAAGAGAAATTGGGCGGTGGTCCTTTGCTGACTGATTTTGTAGCTTGGGGTGAATCGGGGTGACGCCCTGGCGATCGGAACCAGAGGCACCTAGCGCGCCATCTTCGAGAAGATAAAGAGAATTTCCGAACCGTGTGCCTGGTCGTGTACCGGCAACCTCTCTTCGCCCGATCAACGGTCCTGGAGCCTAACTGTGACGGGGAAACGATCAAATCAGGTAACGCAACTCTAGTAGACTAGCGAAGAAATAATGTTCAAAAAACCGGATACGTTGCTGCAATATGCAACAAGCTTGTTATTTGAGATACTGTTTACGTGGATTGTCGCTAGTTGTGTGAATAATATTTTGATGAATATTAATTTCTCGAAACTGGTAATCATATAGTGTTTCTAGAATAACAGTTAGTTTCTTCGAGGAGATATTTAACTAGATAGAATCACGATAATTGTACATTTTAGCAGAATTGAGTTTGTAAAATTTGTAAAACAAATTTTATTAATTGCACGTTATACGAATATACTACAAATTGCTTCGGATGTGTCTACTAAATAAATTACGATACAGACTATTATTACGATACAGACTATTGATAATCTATAACAAAAGTGATGGTGTTATGCACTTGGTTAGTTGCATCAAATGATTCATTGAAATTAATGATTAGCTAATGTTCAGTTGCTATTAATAACGACTACTACTGATAAATTAACGCCGGTTTTAACGTAATTGTTACGAGTCAATGAAATTGAATAATATACAAACACGTTGACATTATAGCCTGGTTTTATTGAAATAGTATACTATATCAAGCAATATATTAATGTAACGTATTGAAAGATAATGATTATAGACAAATTTCATTCTATCCATTATGCAAATCCGCGTAATGTCTCACTTTTTATTCGGTTTATCTAATCGTAACAGTTTACACGCTATTTAGTTCGTATACGTATGATCAATTAAAAAGCAATGTGTGTAATGACATTAAACACAATCAAGGTCGCGGTCCGTTTTGCTCGTGACTGTTTTACCGACTTGCTTTGTCTACCGCGAAACTTATTTACCTAGCGAGCAGGAATTTGTCGGCTTTGTGGATATTTTATCTGCAACTTGGTCCCAAACTTCTCTTGCAATTTCAAATTTCTTTTAGTATTTCGTCTGGTATCATGAAAATATATATCCTCCTTGCTATATATTGCATGAAATTTCTTGATAAATTACGCATTGTGTGAAAAATAAGTAGAAAGATTTTACAATACATGAAAATTAAAATGTTAGTCATGTCCAAACTACAGAAATAATTCACTTCAGAAAATTTCTTGCCGAAATTTTATCTTGGACATACAAAATTCTATCGTACCGCAAATCCAAATCATATAAAATATTTAACATCTATCATCATCATACATGTCACAGACTGTGCCATTATTGAAAATGTGTCAACGTTACCAATTCCCGAGACACGCTTAAAAAATTAACATCGAAAAAGGGCACTTTTGTCGTTAACACATTTTATGAGGACGATCTACTTGGTCGCAGATGCGCAGAGAAATTCGACCGTCCGGAATCTCTCGTTCCGAGCGATAAAACGAAGCGGCGCAATCGAAGGGCGAGAAAAAGCGTAAGGATGAGGCGGTGGAGAAAGATTCGGCCCTAAAACGCCGACGAGGCACAGATAAGAAACGATCCTGTGACGTTTCGTCTGCTCGTATCTTGCAGATTACCAATTCCTTCTACTATAGGATCGCAGGAGGTGAGAAGTTTGCGTTCAGCATCCGTCGAGAACGCACGTGAAACAAGTAGCAGAAGTTATCAACGTGAGTAAACCGTTCTTCCTTCGTATTGACATGAATTTGATTATTTTTGTTTTGCCTTTAATTCCTCGTGTATTCTCCGATCGTTAAGACTCATTGTCTTTAAATATACAGATGGTAACGGTCGTTCGTGAAAGTGGGGTATAACTTTAATCATGCGTCTCGTGTATTCAACGATCGTTTTGCAAATGTTTCCATACGTACACGATGTTTCTGCAAGCCACAGAAAAATGTAATGTAATTGTTAAACTTCGTGTTCTAAAAGACGAGCTAAGAGAATCGAATGTCGGGAACGTAGTTCGCGTTCACGATGCATGGTTTGTTATTACGAACAATTTTATTAATGCTCCGAGAAAGTATGGCAATGCACGAATACGGTGATTATGGTGTAGTCTGGAAATTGATCTATTAATTCTTGGAACGTACCAACGGCAACGGTTATAATAATTTTCCATGTTTTATCGAGAATTATCGAGATTTGGTTTGCTCGATGGTGGAAAAATAAAAAGAAAAAAAAAAACAGATGAACTTTCTCTAGGCAGTTCTTAAATCTCGTGAGAAACATTAAGTGGAAAGAAGTAATAATATCTTTTTATCGACCAAAAGAGTAATTTTAACCGACCGATCGTAAAGATGTCAAAAGCGATCCACATTCTTGCATGCGCTATAATTGTCGTCATTCGACTAACTTTTTCTTTCGCCCCTATAAAAGCTAGAAATCTCACATCATCATAGCGGCGTTATGCTGTTAATTTATTATTCGTTTTACTACGAAACAATAAAACATTAATGACTTTATTTTATAATTTATAATACGCTATTTCTTTTTCCGATAGTTTTGACAAATTATGCCATAAAAAATTTATAACTTGTCTTAATAAACAAAATATACGCGTTATTTTATAACTCAAGATGTTTACTTTGCATCTCGCTAACAATTATATTAAATAGCATTCACAAAAAAATAGTTATAGCTATATTGAAATATTTATACTGTTGCTCACACAAAGAAAAAAACTATTCCATTTTAGAATTCCCATCAGAATTGCAATTTAAATTCAAGTCCATTGGCGCGTATTCGCACTTGCCCACTACTCGAACCAACTTTGTTCCATTATTCTCAATTGAAGAAATGTTTCATTTACTAGGCAACTACACTTTTCATTAAAAACGACAAGAACTATTTCAAAATCAAGTCGAACAATCATAGTGAATAATTTTTGCACGTTTGAATATGACGCCTAGATCTTTTTTTTTTTCATCTTCCAAGAAATGCAATTTAAATATCGGGATATCTATCCTTCCTAATTCCGCAAATCTTCGATCATCGTTCAAATATATACGCGTATATCCACAAACGACTCGAATTCTAGTCTACCGTTCAAATTGTTGGTGGATGTTTCTCTATGATTATTTCTTAAGCAGACACTTTCGCGACGCAACGGGATGCTCGTCGAACGAAAGGAAAGAAGGATCGCGAAGCGAACGACCTGGCAAACAGCGCGGCGGGTTGCCAAGCACGTGACAGTCTGACGGACACGACACGACGCGTAGTGACGTAATGACGTGGCGGAAGGTCCGGAACGCAGGGCGACAAGTGTGCGAGACAGTGACGGTGCCGCGAACGAGGCGGGCCACTTAACGACATTAGCAGAAAGAGAGAGAGAGAGAGAGCTCGATAGGGATAGGCAGAGACAGACTTGTGACTCGATGCGTTTTACTGCTGCTTTACGCCGGTTTATTGCACCATCAAAACATAAAATGTGCCCGGCCGAGAAGCGTGCACACGCGTGGGTACACCCCCACTTTACTTTTACCGCTGGCTGCCGGTTAAACCGGCCGACATTTCCCGATTTCTTGATCCAAGCAACATTCCAGCTCGTCTCTTTACCGATCCGTTTTCCTTTCCATGTTCTCCACCTTTTTTCATCCTGTAACACTTTGGTGGTTTCATTTTCCCTTATTACTTATTCGCATTCCTAACGCTATATCCTTGTTTTTTGAACATCTTTAATGTTTTTCAGCAACTTCAAGCTCCACTTCACGGACGCAAACTGACCACGAGAGTAAGAACGTGGAGAGGTAATTTGATTTTTTAAATCTTCATTAGCCTGCATGTTCTTGGTTTAGACTTTATTATTGCAAATCGGACGTGTTATTGCTGATACAGTTTTTGTAAAACACTGTTTACAGTTTCTTGCCTGCTTAAGCTTCTTTCCAGCGTAGTCTGGTTTATCTTTCTGACGTCGTTTCTGTTTCTACCTGTTCATGGTCTTCGCAATAAATTTAATAATATTGGAATGGGAATATTCTACAGACACGGGATTATTCTATAATTAATGCTTTCAATACTAAGGTGGATCTTTTCGGGAGGTTTCTTATCTCCAGCAATTTTCACACTTCACATTTCTCACATCCAACTATTTCCTATAACCATGATCAGCCTATTGTATGCGTATATATGTACATAAGATATTAATCCATTGTAATTGCAAAACTACGTATCGGCTCACGCCTCGAGAAATAGAATTCCGAAATCCGGAGAAAGGGTTGTTCGGGAACTGGCCTGGGGAAATATTATTTCAGAAAATGGCGATCCTCGATGTTGGCCGGACATGTCGCGCGCCATTACGGCATTTTGTCTGGCGGAGGAAACGAGAAAGGCGGGCGCATTCCGGCGTTTTGCATTTTGCCGACGACAAGGGATGCCGCGTCGATACAACTTTTGGAAACGAGAACGCGCGTTATTGGGGAATTTACAAAGACACATGGTTCGTAAATTGAATGGGTTGCGTGTCGCAGATTTTATTAATCGTGGAAGTCCGACCCGATCGCCGCGATTTCTATCTTTTGGTTTCTCAACTTCGTTTCCGATAACATACGATATCGCCGTTAGTGTAATATCAACGTGGCATGTTCGAAGGAATCGAGTATTTTTACCTTTCCCCGAGATACATCCACGACATTAGTTTCGAAATTTTATTTCAAGTTCCACTCAATTTTGAGAATAAGAATAAGCTTGAATAAGAATAAGCTTGAATAAGAATAAGCTTGAAATAAAATGAGAAACTTGAAATTGAATTGAATTTCGCCGAGATAATTTTCCAAGATTATAAATAACTGGCTGTATTTTACATACGTCGAATGAATTATACGTATGCTGGATGCTAGTGTGATTGAATACTTGGGTTTGTATTGTAGTATTAGAGGAGTCAATAGTGTTGCCAATACTTTCGCAATCCAAGCATTTGATCAGAATAATAAAAGGAAGTGATATGTAACAAACATGTATGAATGAATTTGCATGGCGATTACGTTCTAACATTGCTTTGTTACCTCATTCGTTTCAAGGTTGACTTTAAGTTATGACTTCGTTCCTTATGACAATGTCACTACTTCAAAATATCCATATTCAATTGATTCGCATCGCGATAAAAACTTGACTAATTGAATGTATTTGTAGAAAAGACCAATGTAGTATCTCTTGCTAATAGGATTGTTGAAATTTTCAAAAAACTAGATTGGACGATACGGTAGCGTCATCTGACGAAGGGTGGTTGAACGTTAGGCTCTCCCTTGTTTCGGATATGCCGCCAACCCCTCTGCAGAACCGACCGATCAGACAAGAACTGATTGGTGAACCCGCCCTTACCCCTATACCCCGGATGCTTCAATGGGGGTTCCAGGATACCGTCAGAGATACATAGTTCCTAGAAATCACGCCAGAGCGATTGCACAACTGTCCTGTGTTATATAACAATGAGAATACTTCTTAAATAATTAAATATCCTATATTACTCGATACAGCAATAAGAGAATTGTGGTTGTATTATATGTATTATAATTTGACTTGAAGTGACAATAACGATATGTAAATAGAAAATTTATTATTTGTCAGATAAATTTTCAAAGTCTATTAACAATTTAAGAGGTAAATTTTAAGTTACGAGGATCTTCCGAATAGTTTTAACTAATGTAGTTTATTCAATGAGCAAACTGACAATCTTTTTCTCTCTGATTTGATTATCTGACTTTTAAAGTAAATAATATTCGGCGATATAAAATAGGGTAGCTCCATCAATAAAATGCTTCGTGTACGGAAATTATGTATTTCAATGAAACGCGTGCCATCCACGATTTATTTAAACTCTCGAGGTGGAACAGTGAGAGAACGGAGGAGTAGGAAGTAAAGGATTGGCGACAGGATGAGAGGAAGCGTAACTCGTGACATCTGTCGTTGCTAATACGAAACGTTGTGGAATCGGTATGCAGCTCGCTCAACAATGCAGGTCAATGCACAGTGACACGATAACTTTGGAAACGTTCATAAAATTTTAACTGCATAATAAAAACGTTACGAGCTACTATCTCACCCAAGGAATTACTGTTTGAAAGTTGAGTGCCGCCTTTCGCACATCGAGGAAGGCGCCTATCAAAATTCGCGCGTATCGTTTTCAAGGATGAAAACCTGTTAAACAAATGAAAGGTATTTGGTATACTTGAGATATAGTTGAATATACTTCTTTTTTAATATTAAATAGATGCAGGTATTCATATCATTCGCATCTTTTTTTTGTTACTCTATAATTGCAAATGATACGTTGTAAATTTGGTATTGATAATTTGTAAATTAATTTGTAAAATGAATTTTTAAATACTTAAATATCCAAATTTTCCATCACTAAAATGCCTGGACTTTCAATATTATAAATTTCGAGATGCCCGATTTTCTAAACGTTCAATTGCCCATGCAGCCAAATCTTTAAATTCCCAGATGCTTGAATTAAATTTTCCAAATGTCTGAATTAAATTTTTAATTGAAATTTTCAAATGTAAATTACGAAATACAAACTATTTATTTCTCAAATTCGTTTCTTTAATCCGAATGTTTTCATGGAAAATGGACGCAATATCGGTGGGTGTCGTAAACTAGGAACAGGAAATGTACTTACGACAACGAGTTTAAGGATGACTTTGAACGGATAGAAGAGGTCCGAGTCGTGCAAGGGTTGCGTGGTTGGCCTTGGAGGGTCGTTTGCACTGTTCTTGACCGCACGTAGCGGTCAGCGTAGATCGTGGTCCTTCGAGGAATGCATGAATCTCGTCGACTATACCTACATTATGCTCATTGTGCGCATGGAATAGTGGTTTCCCCTCTTTTCAACCGTTTCAACCATATGCTTTCTTACTTGAAGCCTTAAAATCTTTTTACCAGTTTGTTACTCGTTCGACTTACCAATTTTTCAAGTACACATCAAGTAAATCCAATCAACCTTTCTACAATTAACTTTTGCACTTCAATCTAACCAAATATAACTTCGTTTAGAATTTCGAAAATCGAATTCTTTTCAAAATCAATCACTCAGATATCGTCCTATAAATTTGTGAACGAAATTCAACGAATCGCGTTTCTGAAAAACTCGTAGTAAGAAAAACAAAGTAATGTTTTCCAATTAATATCAAACTTGACCGATATGATTAATTAAATCAATTGAATTTAATAAAACACACGTCTATTTAAAATTTCCTTATTTTCAAGTTTTAAAGATTTTCCAACTTGACGATTTGCAAGCTACGCTCACAGCGCAGAATAGAGAGAAACGACGAAACAAAGAGGCGTCGGAATGCACACGGAGGAAAGGAATACCTTGGTACGGACGTTCGGCAAAGCGGAGCGTGCATTCGTCGGCCGTTATCGTGGCAAAGTTATGGCCGATCGATAAGGTTAAGAACCCCTGGCGGATTTACGATGTCGGTCGAGGAGGATGATCGGTCGCGATTGCACGGCCTTGTGTCGTAAAGCGGCGATGACGCGGCCTTAACTTGGCGCGCGTGCACGCATATGGAACCGAGAAACGACATATGGAGTCGCCTCGCGCGATAACGACTCCTTGGAAATCCTGCCGATTTACGGGCGGAGAAGAAAGAAAAATCTCCGGTTCGATTCAAACGTCTCGCGAGCACTCTAGTTCTTCACTACATCTTATCGTTCCACTTCACAAATGTGTCGTAGAAATTCTTCGCTCTCGTGATCGTAATTGTGGAAACCCGTGGGAAGTTTGTTTCTAAAATCAGGTTGTTCTTTTTCTTTTTATCGCCCCCCTTTTTTTTTCTTCTTCTTCTTTCAGGAAGTCTTGCGGGTTTACGGTGGAAACGATGATTTCGAGGTCGCTCCTCGGATGCTGTCCTCCGAAAATTCGACGGAGATCCCGCGGACATCTGCTCGACCAACTTTCGGGAAAGAGTTTCAAGGTTACTTTTAAGGTAAGTCATTGAATTTTTATTCGTTGTACATCCTACTGGCAGCTGATGGTTAAAGAGGAAGTAGCAAAAGCAGTCATGCGTCGACATCTCTGCATTGAATACATATAACGTGATAATGATCCGACTCCTTATTATTCTCGATGGAGTAAAAAAAATAATCGTCCCCCAGTTACATAACCGAAATTTCGTATACGAAGGATCGTTATGAACACCTTGGGTAATAAAAAAAATTACTCGCAAGGAAAATACAAGGACTGCTGGTACTACATCATTCCCTGCTTTCTCTTCTGCATGGCACGCACTTATAATAAATTCGATTCGCAAAATTTCTCGAATTTGAATCACTAACTGACGTAATCAATAACTGTATTAGTAAAAATGTCCGATGCGAGTTGTAAATAACATCTTGCGATACGGTCGGCTCGGGTTAAATTTATTTTATTTTACACGTGCCGAGTATTTTAAACAAAGGGAATGGAACAAGTAACGGCGGGAAGGATACAAGAAAGTAAATGAATAAAAGGAAGGAAGGAAGAAGAGAGGAGGAACCGGTGGTAGCTCAGACGAAAGGTTGTTAGCAAAATTGAAAGCTTATCAGTGAACGTGGCGGCGCGTTTGCAGCCAACGGAGATCGTAGCGCAAAAATTCAGTCGCGATTACGTTACGCCCGCTAATAAACATCGGCGCGAGAAGACGCGATGGCCGTGCAATGAGATAGAGAAGATCGCGATCCGATAAGCGTAGGACACGGCTGAAGAATTAATACAATTCCGTAATATTCGTTGGAACGAAAATCAACCGATAGATGTTACGACATTTAAATGATAATCACCATGATCTTTCTCATCTCCTCGCTTTTTCTTCGCTTTCCAATTATCGATCTCATGAGACAGAGAGGAACGTTATCATTGACGTGTAGATTGCACACACATATCAGAAGGTTACGCGGAAATTTTGGTCGGTTGAAGACTTTGAATGGTGGTTCACGATTATTTAGATGCATCTCCTTGCAATAAATCAATTATTTACGGAAGCAAGTCACTTCATTATGAAAGACTGAATATTAATCACATATCCAGGAACATTAATTAAAGACTTATAAAGCGTAAAATTGATGAGAATAGTTTCTGAGTAACTCTATTTTAACGGAGTTACTTTAGGAAATGATTCTAAGCAATAATGTATGGGCTTGTGAATAAAATATGGAAATTATAGCTGAAAATTTTAGTTGATTGAATGAAGATTTTGAATCAAACTTAAGCAAAATATTTTTCAGTACAGTATAGTAGAGCAGTATAGTACAGCCAAATACTTGTACAGCTATATTTCTAGAGAGTATATCAATGATTCTAATTCATTGCACGATTCCAATTCTATTTGCTGGATAGATTATTTAAAATGTAAATATGGGGAAAAATATGGACTCACGCTGTCTTGATTCTAATTGTAAAAAGTGAATGTTGTATGAAAAAAATGTATTTTTACGTACAGTATTTGAGACTTTGTTAGAGTATAAAACGTAGAATATTGTACAAACAATAGCGCGTTGATATGAAATAAAATCGGATGGACGAACGATAGAGAAAAGTAAAAAAGTAGTTCATAAAAATTGCCATTCTCTATTCGAAGTAACAGCTGCAATGAAGTTGCAGTATATCTGACACAAAACGAGAGAAATCGAAGGAAAAATGGCGACCAGCAATTTCCAGAGAACCTTCGAGATTAAATGACGTGAAACCGCATCTCGCGGCACGAGGAAAGAAAAGGGAAGCACGTGCTGCAATTCACCGCGAGGGACGTATAAATTAGTGGGTCGTAAATCGGAATTATTCCGAGAATATTCCAAATATCAGGCTAATTTACGTCTATGAGCGTTACGCAAGACGTTGAATCTAACGGAATAATAACATGATGTAACTCTGTTTTATGGGAATCGCACTTCACGGTCATCAGAGCGTTCGTCATCGAGAACCTCGTGGTTCCTCCTTCCAATAACCGGAAGCTGGCTCGTTCATTGACCATCGTATTACTCCGCCACCCTTGAACAAATATGTGCACCCAAAAGATAAAAATACTCCTTCAGTTTCTGCTGCTTACTCACTTTTGTTTGACGTTGTTTGTTTCACGTTGTCTTTCGATTGAGAAACGAAATACAGTCATGAAAGATGCAGTTAGTGCAGAGGAGACACTGCAACACTAGGGTTTCTAGCAATCGGAAAGAGTTATAAAGACATAAAATTTAGTACTGCAATTTCACCTCGATTATTTAGCAAAATGATTCCTGAACTGTGTATTGCTATTTAAGAATTAAAGATTCTTATTCATATAAAGATTATTATTTGAGAGTAAGAATGACATCCATGTCGTCTTAACATTTTATATTATGTTATGTTATATTATATTACGTATCATTGGCCTTAACATTTTGTATTATGTATCGTGAACTAGAGAGAATGTGTAGATCATCACATCAGTACTCTTGAGTGTGGATTATTGTGTAGTATATTGAATGTTATTATCGAGACACAATTTCTCAGAAATACGAAAACGAAAATATAAATATTACAATCCGTAGCTGCGAGGCAGAAAAGTCGAATATTTATTCTCCTCAGTCGTACGGAAGCCATCGAAAGCGTAACATTCGTGTGAAATACAGTCAGCTCAGTTAAGTGCGTGTTAAAATTTGTAAAAATGAGTCGCGGTAAACCGTTGGTATACTTAACAGTAAAGGACCCCTCCCCCTACACACGTAGAAATATCCAGCGATGCATGCATGGACATCAAGGTTTCATGAAACCTGCATTAGAGACAGTTTGCCTGCCGATGCCGAGCTACATACATTGCAACATGCATCGTGAAACCTAGAAATCCATTGCCGCATGTTTCAACATATATGTGGAGACCTTAAGAGAAGCGATGAGAAATGCTCGAGAACTCGAGCAACCGATCAACCTAATCTCCGTCAACCGATAAAGAAAAAAAAGAAAAGCGGCCGCAGGTTCCGCGTGAATTCAACAGCCGCCACGATGGAACGGTTGCAATCGCGGGGGTGACGAAGCGGGAAGAGGCGAGCCGCGAGCAGTGGCGGTGAATTGAACAAGAAACGCGTGATCGGCAACGAGGGGAACGAAGAAAGAGAGAGAAAGAGAGAGAGAGAGAGACCGAACGGACAAGTGGGGAAGGGGTGACGGAGGCTGGTACGACAGCAGGGGCAGAACAGTTCGGAAAAGGATATAAAAGGAAATATATGGTAATGTGACTGGGGTGGCAGCCTCTCTCCATGGGGGTTGTGGAACGTAGATAGGGGTTCGAATCGCTGGCCGGGGGTTGGGCGTGGTGGCTAACGCACCCTCCGCCCTCCGCTACTTTCTATCCTTCCTCCTCTGTTGCTCTCTTCGTGCTTCCGCCGACGTCGTCTGCCTCCCTCTTCCTCTCTTCCTCGCCCCCTTCGCCCCTCGCCCGGCCAACCCCTCTGCCGTGTCTCTCTCTCTAGATTCTCTCTGGCGAGCGGAACGAAGCTGTGCCAGCACGCCGGTCGATACTTTGGGGCCGCGTGCCCGACTAGCGTCGCGACGCTGGAATCCCGCGCTCGTCATGGCCGCCTTTAGTGCCCGCGTACCGACGTCTAGCTGCGTCCTTCGAATCATCGCCGTCTCTTCTTTCACGTGTCCTCTACGTCATCGGTGAGTTTGTCACATTGTCTTTTCTTCTCCTTTTTTTTTTTTTCTTTTTAAGAATAGAATGATGTGGTTAGAGTGTGCATATATATATTGTAAAGTAGGTGTATGAAGAGATTGAGAGTCGATGATTTATGTTGTTGGTGACGACCTGTTTGAATCTTACGTTGATTTCTATCATGATGAGTTTTGTGGTCGTGTGGGAAGAAGCTTCGGGTTTGTTGAGACATTCCAATTCAAATATGGCCGCGGAAAGTTTGATGTTAAAGGGGATGAATGTGTTTTGAGGAAGTAGTTTAGGAGTGATTGACATTGGAGGATCTAGATATGTGATAATTGTTTCGAGTATGACTTGAAATTGAAGAAATACGAACGTTTAAATATTTTTACATAGTCGTTTTTCGTACGAAAGGTACGAGCGATTGATTTACGGGGAAACAAATTTTCGATAGCTTTTTACGATTACAGGTGTTCGATACTTGCAAATTTGTTTAATTTCATAAAGTTGAAACGACTTTTAAAGCGCTCGAATTTTTTTATTCACCTTGTAAATTTTTATTTAATCGTTTATTGACAGATTTTTGTAGATGCTCTTGTATTAATTCAGATTTCTCAATTTCCTGTTTGTCTAAATTGTATGGATTAATAGGTTTACGTATTAATATAAGTTAATTATAATTTCTCGTCGAATTCAAATTTATCGATTTTTGTTTTTACTTAATTCTCGAGTTTCCGTAATAAAACAACGAATTAACATGGTTCCGAATCATTTTCTAGACTTCATTCGCTTATGAAACAGATACGAACTTTCGGCACAGACGAAAATGACGCTATGAATATGAATGAGAAAGCTTATGCTCACTTCGTTGTTGGTCTTAGTACCGTGGTCGTCGATAGAGTGACTGCGATGCGTTCGAAACCTTCAATTACGTCTGACTGTTCTCTTGCTGGAAATATAACGTTATATTTTCATTTCGAACACAGATAATTAGACCGATGAAACTTTGACTTTCTCGCTTTCCCAAAAATATTCAACGCACGAAATATCACGAAATTAGATTTTCTCCTTTCCTTTCATCTTTCATAAAGTTACACGTTGTCTTTTCTAATCCCATAAAAATCTATTACTCCGATGAAATTAAATAATAATTGGTATTCAAGAATTTGTCCATCATATTTCATTTTAAATAATGCCGCCAATCACTGAAATTTTAAAAGAGGCTCAATACAACTAAAATCTCCGTAAAATTACTGGGCAATATCTCCATTAAGTTAATTAAAATTTACTGATATCTTTATCTAATTTTGCT